GGAGAGTCTCTTGAACCCAGAAGGTGGAGGTTGCAGTGAGCTGAGATCATGCCACTGCACTCCAGCGTAGGTGACAAGAGCTAAACTCCATCTAAAAAATACGTTCCTGGCCTCCTTTTGTAAGTTATGTTCTAATCGAGGAGACAGCAATACATAAATAAATAAGTATATAATATGCCAGTATAGTAGATGCTATTTTAAAGCACACAGAAAGCTTGATGATGGGGGAGGGAAGAATATGTGTACATGGGGGTATGGGGAGAGGAGGATGGGGATATTTTAGAAAGACTAGTCAGGAAAGATATTTCTGAGGAGAACTGATATGCCACAATGGTTGGGGGATGTGTAGGTGAAGACTTGGATTTAGAGAGCAATCTCTTTTTAGTAGGATTTTCAGTTACCTGGATTTGCTGTCAAGAAATAATGTGAGAAAGATTGGATGGGATTTGGAAGTGGAGGCTTCTCTAGTTTAACGCTATAAGCCAGAGAGTGGCACCAGATGGACTCTCCTGTCCCGTGCCAGTCATGTTAATGTCACGGTTAAGACTTCCAACTTGTCTTTCTTTCCAGCTACTACCACTTCAACTTTCATCCTTGACTTTGATGCAGATTCTCCCATCATATTGACTCTTCAGGCTGTACTGAACAAGGATCGTGTTCTCTGACTTGGAAGAGGCTCCTCATTGCCCTACCCTGTGGATAACCATGTGCTTTATCATTTAAATGGATACTTCTGAGAGCAGATGGGGCACTATCACTAATTATGCTGAGATAACAGGTGTAATCCTTTGCAATCTAGATGATTGGTCACTGTAGGCATGTGGTCATTGGCTGAGCTAGCTCCAGCACACAAATGGAACCAAGACTCCCCTCCCAGCTAAACTTCTGTCTGGAGACTAAGAGGTTGGTTCCTTGTATGGTACGTCTACAAGTCAAAAGAGAGGTCATCAAACTTTAGTTATCGGTCTTGTTGCCTTACCCTCAGGCCTGATTTTCTATTTTATATCTTGGAGGTCCTTCAGTTCCCATCCCAGAACATGCTTGTACTAGTTTCTATTCTTCTGAAAATGAACTGAGACCCATTTTCTTAGTTGCTTCAGGCTGCTGCCAGGGATGAGATGTAGACTTTCTTTCGTGTCCAGGTCTAGGAAAGCTATCTCCAGCCCCAGACGCTCTTGCAGAGGCTCTACCAGGCCTGGATGTTTACATCCTTGGAGCCAAGATGTAATCAGGGGAGCCAGAATCAAACTGATCACCCTTCCGGTCCCGGTGACACTGTCTGGATATAATCCAGAAATGCTGTTCATTGCTGCTGCTTTGTAAAGTGGTATGCTCATAGCCTTAAACAAATTAAAGGAACATGATAAGCACCCATGCTTTTTTAAATAAAATATTATAGATATTGATATTAGGCCACACAATTTGGTGGAAGTAACAGCCAAAAAAAAACTTCTATGATGGAATTCTACTGAATTATTTTTATCACAATAATAACAATGACGTGGCATCTTACTGGATTCAAATGTAGTTTGTAGTATAGGTCCACAGTCTCTTAGTCTGAAATCCTAAAGAGCTCTGATAACTGGGGGAAAAAAAATCCAGTTTTTCACAAGCTTATTTAACGGCAAAACCTGATTTGAATCAGCATGAAGTTTATAGTCTTTGTTTATCCTATTTAGTGTGAATATTCAGGTATTGTTGCAGAAATACTAATGTTTTCTTTCTTTCCCAAACTTCAAAAGAGGCTATTCTATAATGTGTGGTATATAAACCATATTAACTATCCAAACACTTCTGACCCAAAAGTTATCTGAGAAGGGATTTTGACTCTACAATACTGCCTTGGCCTATTACTTGTTTTTCAATTAATAATCTCCACAAATTAGATGAGCACAAACCTTAATTTCCTATTGCTTCTGAGTGGTTTATAGTTTGGGAACTACTCAGTATTAGTTTCTAGTTCAATATTTAGTACCTTAGCTTTTGGAAGGAAAACAAAACATTGATTTGATAAAAGATTGATAAATAAATAAAAATAGTGGATACATATTGAGCCCAGATCTCCCATTCTACACTGGTATACCATGGAGAGATGAGAAAATATTCTTTGCCATCATATGAAGAAGCAGAGTGGTCACACATTTCCATTTTCACTTTGTGCTGAGTCCATAAGAACTGCACTGGTGTTCTCTTGGAACGTAATAGAAGCCTCCAAACACAATTTCACACTTTTTTCTGAGTGCAAGAAAGTAGTTATATGCTTTTACTGGTTTAGAAAAAGACTTTTCTATTCTTTTCTCAAGGAACATATTGTTTCTCAAGGTCACAGGGAGAGGAAGAATGTATTAAATATTCTGTTCTTTACTTTCTGACTGAACTGTGTGGTAGCCAGGCTCCAAGAAAGCCCTTGATGAGTCTCACTTCCTGGTTTTCACATTCCAGTATAGCCCCCTCCATATCAAATAGAGTTGACCTGTATAACTAATATCAAAATGTCAGAAATATCAGAAATATCAAAATGTGACTTCTGAGGTCAGGTCATAAAAGACATTACAATTTCTGCCTTGCCTTCTCTTGGAGCACTTACTTTTAAGAGGCTAGCTGTTGTGTAATGAGAAGACTTAATTAAGGAGCCCTATGGAAAGATCCATTTGGCAAGGGACTAAGGACACCACCCAACAATCAGCACTAAATGGCCAGCCATATGAGTGAGCCACCTTGGAAGTGGATTCTCCTGCCCCAGTCAAGCCTTCAGATGACTGCAACCCCAGCCACCCACTTGATTTCAAGTTCATGAGTCACTGCAAGCCAGAATAACCCAACTAAGCCACTCTTGGGTTCCTGACCCACAGAAACTGTGAGAAATAGAATATACTTGTTGTTTTAAGCTGCTAAGTTTGGAGGTAATCTGTTACACAGAAATAGGTAACCAATATACCTGGAACTTTGATTTAAGGAAAATATGTTAGTTTCTCTTAATTATGAAAATATCACGGCCAGGCGCGGTGGCTCAAGCCTGTAATCCCAGCACTTTGGGAGGCTGAGATGGGCGGATCACGAGGTCAGGAGGTCGAGACCATCCTGGCTAACACGGTGAAACCCCGTCTCTACTAAAAAAAAATACGAAAAACTGGCCGGGCGAGGTGGCGGGCGCCTGTAGTCCCAGCTACTCGGGAGGCTGAGGCAGGAGAATGGCGTAAATCCGGGAGGCAGAGCTTGCAGTGAGCTGAGATCCGGCCACTGCGCTCCAGCCTGGGTGACAGAGCGAGACTCCGTCTCAAAAAAAAAAAAAAAAAAGAAAAGAAAATATCACTTTCATGTTGCAAATTTCAAACATATTCAAAGATATTCTGACCTGAAAAATGAAAATATCCTATAATATCATCCTCTCTGTAATTTGTGGCATGTAGTTCCTGTTCCAGATTTTTTTCCTTCTTCTTTTTTTTGAGGCAGGCTATTGCTCTGTTGCCCAGGCTGGGGTGCAGTGGCATGATCTCTGCTCATTGCAAACTCCGCCTCCAAGGTTCAAGCGATTCTCCTACCTCAGCCTCCCAAATAGCTGAGACTACAGGCACCCGACTAATTTTTGTATTTTTTGTAGAAAATGGATTTCACCATGTTGGCCAGGCTGGTCTCGAACTCCTGACCTCAGATGATCCACCTGCCTGGGTCTCCCAGAGTGCTCGCATTACAGGTGTGAGCCACTGTGCTCAGCCCAGTTCCAGATTTTTTTTAAATGCAAATACTAATGCATAGGCCGGGTATGGTGAGTCAACCCTGTAATCCTAGCACTTTGGGAGGCCGAGGTGGGTAGATTACCTGAGCCCAGAAGTTCAAGGCCAGACTGGGCAACATGGCGAGAACCTGTCTATACAAAAAAATTAGCTGGACATGGTGGCCCACACCTGTGGTCACAGCTACTGGAGGCTGAGATGGGAAGATCTGGGTGTGGTGGCATATGCCTGTGGTTATAGCTACTTGGGAGTCTGAGATGGGAGGATCACCCTGAGCCCAGGGAGATCAAGGCTGCAGTGAGCTGTGATTGCACCAAGCACTCCAGCCTGAGCAACAGAGTGAGACCTTGTCTCAAGAAAAACAAACTAACAAATACTAATGTGTGTATGTATGCACGTGAGTATTTTGTTAATTGATGCTGGATTATATTAAACCTGCTGTCTTCCAACTTGCATGATTCACTTAATGTGTCTTGGGATATCTTCCATATGAGTTCATATAGTTGTATGTCATTTGTTAACATATCTCCATATATTTTACTGTATGCACTTCTCCATTTCCTACTGGAGAATATTTGGTCTAGTTTCAGTTTCCACAGATACAAACAATGATACGGTGGGGCAATCTGTGGCATATATTTCCAGAAGCAGAAATGCTGGATCAAAGGGAGGCACATTTCAAGTTCTGATAGATATTTCCAGATTGCCCTCCCAAAAAGTTGTACCCAGGTATTTAACCAGGGAATGTAAATGTCTATTTCCCTATACTCTCAACAACACTGGTTATCCACTGTCATTGCCAATCAGGTAGGTGAAAATGACTAGTTTTCTGTTGTCCCCAGCTTGTTGGCCATCTTTTTACATGTTTATCATTATTTGTATTTCTTCTGTTTCGAGTTATCTGTCCATCTTTACCCGTCTTGATACTAGGTTACTTGTCTTATATATTGACTGGTAAGAACTCTTTGTATATCAGCAGGTTAAATTCTTTGCCTGAAATGTAGTTTATACAAACTTCCCCCAACTTATTGTTCAAACTGATTTTAACAGTTTTTGAATCATAGGAACTTTTTTGTCACATGTGATCCCATCTGATGTGTTATATAAAGCATGAGATAGGCATTACAACTCTAATTTAAAAGTGGTTAGAATGAAAATTTAAAATAAACAAGAAAGCATTCCTATTTCTACAGCTGTTAACTGTTACCATGTTTAAATTTGATATCAGTGACTCAGTTGATTTGGATTCCTTCTGTTTCCTTCTAGTATACCAAATACTACATTCACCGAATTCCAAGAAGCCGGGAGGTTCGGCAGTCCTGGCCCTCCACCGTTTTCACCACCTTGCACTCCATGTGGCTCTCCTTTCCCCTCATTCACCAGGTGAAGCCAGATTTGGTAAGTAAGACCATCACTAAGGAGAGGGAAAGTAACTCCCTGTAGATCTTTCATTAGTAACAGGACATACTGTTTTCTTAAACAGCTACCATTTATCACTGTGCCAGGTCGTATACAAGACCCTGAACTGGCTGGTGCCTTGATCTTGGACTTCCCAGGCTCCAGAACTGTAAGAAATAAATATCAGTTCTTTATAAGCCACCCAGTTCATGGTATCTCATTATAGCACCTGAAATAGAGTAAGATATCATCCTTGGATTTTTTGTGACTTTTATCACAAAGCACTCTTTCTCCTGCCTCAGCCTCCTGAGTGGCTGGGACTACAAGTGCGTGCCACCATGCCTTGCTAATTTTTGTATTTTTAAGAGAGATGGGGTTTCACCATGTTTTCCAGGCTGGTCTTGAACTCCTGACCTCAAGTAATCTGCCCCTGTCGGCCTCCCAGTGTGCTGGGATTACAGGCATGAGCCACTCTGCCTGGCCTGTGACCAGTAATCTTTGATGTTACTGTTGTAATTGTTTGGGGACACTGTGAATCGTGCTTACATAAGACAGTGAACTTAATAAATGTGTGTGTTCTGACTGCTCCAACAGCCTGCTGTTCTCTCTCTCTCTGTCTCTCTCTCTCTCTCTCTCTCTCTCACACACACACACACACACACACACACACACACACATGCATTCCTTGAGCTTCCCTGTCTATGAGACACAACAATATTGAAATTAGGCCAATTAATAACCCTGCAATGGCCTCTCAGTGTTCAAGTGAAAGGTAGTATTTCTCATGTTTTACATTTGAAATCACAAGCTAGAAATGATTAAGCTTAGTGAGGAAGGCATTTGCAACAGGCACTTAGCCAAGTTGTGAATGCAAAGGAAAAGTTCTTGAAGGAAATTAAAAGTGCTACTCCAGACCAGGTGCATGCCTGTAATCCCAGCACTTTGTGAGGCCGAGGCAGAGGGATCACGAGGTCGGGAGATCGAGACCATCCTGGCTAACATGGTGAAACCCTGTCTCTACTAAAAATACAAAAAATTAGCTGGGCGTTGTGGTGGGCACCTGTAGTCCCAGCTACTCGGGAGCCTGAGGCAGGAGAATGGCATGAACCCAGGAGGCAGCACTTGCAGTGAGCGGAGATGGCGCCACTGCACTCCAGCCTGGACGATAGAGTGAGACTCCATCTCCAAAAAAAAAAAAAAAAAAGTGCTATGGCACTGAACACACTGGTTTTATGATAAGTACATGACATAGCCTCATTGCTGATATGGAGAAAGTTTGAGCACTCTGGATAGAATATCAAACCAGCCATATTCCCTTAAGCCAAAACCTAATTCAGGAGAAAGTCCTAATTTTCTTTAATTCTGTAAAGACTGAGAGAGGTGAGGAAGCTGCAGAAGAAAAGTTTGAAGGTAGCAAAGGTTGGTTGAGGCTTAAGGAGAGAAGCCATCTCCATAGCGTGAAAGTGCAAGGTGAAGCAGCAGGTACTGATGTAGAAGCTGCAGCAATTTATACAGAAGATCTAGTTAAGATAACTGATTAAGGTGAGTACACTAATCAACATATTTTCCATATAGACAGAACCGCCTTATATTCGACAATGTCATTCAGGACTCTCATGGCTAGAGAGGAGAAGTCAATACCTGGCTTCAAAGCTTCAAGGGACAAGCTGACTCTCTTGTTAGGGACTCATGTAGCTGTTGACTTTAAGTTGAAGCCAGTGCTCATTTACCATTCTGAAAATTCTCAGGCCCTTAAGAATTATGCTAAATCTATTCTGCCTGTGCTCTGTAAGTGCAACAACAAAGCCTAGGTGACAGCACATCTGTTTACAGCATGGTTTGCTGAATATTTTAAACGCACTGTTGAGACCTGCTACTCAAGAGACAAAACTTCCTTCCAAAATATTACTGCTCTTGATATATTGGGCTGGATGTTTTTATTTTAAAAAAATACAAAATATGCTGCTCATTGACAATGTGCCTAATTACCCAAGAGCTCTGATGGAGATATACAAGGAGATTAATATCTTTATGCCTGCTAACACAGCATCTATTCTGCAGCCCAGAAATCAAGGCATAATTTTAACTTGCAAGTTTTATTATTTAAGAAAACATTTGTAAGGCCATAGCTGCCATAGATAGTTATTCCTCTGATGGATCTGGACAAAGTCAATTGAAAACCTTCTGGAAAAGATTCACCATTCTAGATGCCATTAAGAACATTCTTGATTTATGGGAAGATGTCCATAAACAGGAGTTTGGGAGAAGTATATTCCAGCCCTCCTGCATGGCTTTGAGAGGTTCAAGACTCAAGTGGAAGAAGTAATTGCAGAGGTGATGGAAGTAGCAACAGAGCTAGAATTAGAAGTAGAGCCTGAAGATGTGACTGAATTCCTAAAACCTAATGATGAAACCTGACTAGGACCCTGCTCTGTGACTGGATTTATACCGTGCACTCGAGGTATAAGAGTAAACACAGCTCTATCCATAAGTGGCCTAAGGTGATCTGTGAAAATGGCTTGCTATTCACTTGACCTAGGAAAATTCCAGAAAAGTCATGCAGATCAAGAAGTTCAACTCTTCATGTTCACTTTAAGAACATCCACAAAATTGCCCATGCCAGAGAGACCTAAGTAACCAAGATGTTCTGTAACTCCAATTTTCTTTAGACATGTATTAGATTCTGCCAATATTAGCTAACTTGCTCAATTAAAAAGTTATCTAGTATTTTAAAAAATATGTTTGATGCAGCAGGTACTAAAAGGGATGAATAAAACAGCTCCTCAGGAAGCTTATACTTTAGCTTCAGGGAAAATGGAGTAAAGAAACAACAGGTAGACTCGAAATACAGATTAATTCAGTTGAAAATAGAGACCCTATTTAAATCAGAAATAGTTCTTCCTTTCTGCAGCCTACATTAAAGTACTTTTAGCTTGTTCTAGTATTCAGGATTTTCTTTATTTTATTAAAAAAAAATTTAAAGATGGGGTCTCTCCACATTGCCCAGGCTGGTCTCAAACTCCTGGGCTCAAACCATCCCCCAGCCTCAGCCTCCCAAAATGCTGGGATTACAGGTGTGAGCCACCGTGCCCAACTAGTTTCTTAAGATAGCAACTTAGGTTATTGATTAAGATATTTCTTCTTTTCTAATACAAGCATTTAATGCTATACATTTTCCTCTCACAACTGCTGTAGTTTCATCCTACAAATGTTGATATGTTGTATTTTCTTTCACTTCTAAGTATTTTTTATGTCCTTCAAGTCTTAATCTTTGACCCATGGATTATTTACAGTGTTTTGTTTAATTTGCAAGTGTTGGGAAATTTTTCCTATTATCTTTCTGTTATTGATTTCTAGTTCAATTTCCCTATGGTCAGAGAACATACTCTATTTTAAAATATATTGAGGTTTTTTGATCCTGGATGTGGTTTGTCTTGGTGAATATTCCATGGGCATTTGAAAAGAATGTGTATATAATTGTCTATGAGATTCTGTTGATTGATGATGCCGTTGAGTTCTTCTGTATCTCTGCTGATTTTCTAATAGTTCTGTTGTTGATTGCTAAAAGAGTGACGGGACACTTTGTTAACCCTTCTAAAACCATGTTTAAATCGTACTATTGATCTCAACCCTTCATAATCTCTTCTGTGTTCCTCTGCTAAAGTACACACTGATCCCACATTAAAATGAATTTTAAATATTCCATGTACAAGATGGATACTCTTTTGTATCTTGAAGCCTAAAGATTTTTTCACTATTGTGTCTTTCATTTTTTCCTAAAAGTAGAAGTCTCTGTGTGAATCTTCAATGACTAGGCTAATCTCATATCCTCTTGAAAATATACTCCTAAAGAGGAATTAGTTTGTTTCAATGAGAAGAAGAGAAAAGTTAATTTGTGAGATTGCTGATTATTAAAGTAAGAGGACTGCTTATGTTGGGGGAAAAAAATCTATAAAGTTCTTGAGGGTAAAGGCCAAGTATTTTTGCATTTTCCATGGTCCTTTCTAGAAAAGCTTCCACATATTTGAGGAATGACTTAAAAATAAATGAATGAATACTGGATAAAATGAGTCATCACAAAAACAAAGACACCCACTCCCTACACTGGTGCTCTTCTCAGGCTTTATTAAGAGTCTGAAAAACCAGGAGGGTTTCCAAAGTCTGCAGTGTTTGATTACTGGCTTCATTCCACCCTGGCCATTACTAGATGAAATACTCAAGGAAAGAGCTCTGCATACAAAAATGAAACCTAATTTAATTTTTAATCAAGTAAAAAATAAATTTCAGATTCTCTGTATTAACAAATTGAAAGGAAATGGACCATTTCAGCCTAATACTCTGCCTCTTTGCCTGAAGCTGGTTTAATTCACCATGACAAATTTAGATGTACTTATTACATCTACACTCACTCACGCGTTGTATGAAAGAAGGCCATTATTTTATTTAGTCATTTTTTTCCATGTTCCATACCCAGTTTGAGCTGTGAAATGTCTAAGTTCATAGCAGTAGAAAGTTGATGGCTGGGTGCGGAGGCTCATGCCTGTAATTCCAGCACTTTGGGAGGCCAAAGCGGGCAGATCACTTGAAGTCAGGAGTTCGAGACCAGGCTGGCCAACATGGGTGAAACCCTGTCGCTACTAAAAATACAAAAATTAGCCGAGCTTGATGGTGGGCACCTGTAATCCCAGCTACTCAGGAGGCTGAGGCAGGAGAACCACTTGAACCCGGGAGGTAGAGGTTATAGTGAGCTGAGATCACTGTACCTCAGCTTGGGGGATAGTGTAAGACTCCATCTCAAAAAAAAAAAAGTTGATGACACGGATGGTGGGTTATTATCCATAAGTAGGATACTGTGATTGTTTTTTTTAAATTAGGTGTTTTCTGTGGTGAGCCACAAACTAGGTGGCACCAAGATTATCACTGTTTGTATAGTATATAAAATTTTTATTGGCCTACTAATTAACATGTGTTTGAAATATTAAGAAGAGGCAATTAACTTC